TGCAGTCACTTGTTACAGCAGCAGCAGGAAACTAATACAGCATTATTCCAAATTAGAGACAGTGTTCGGCCATTTCGTAGTCCCAGACATGAAGAGGGATACATTCTTAAAAGTTAAATATTACTTGTTACCCAAATTAAAATGCATTTTAAATTTAGTTACAAAGTTTAAATCCCCTTCCTGTATCTTCTGCCCTCTCACAATAGACTTTAGAAGAGGGCAGAGGAGTTGTGGGGAATGAGAAAACGAGTGAATGTTAAGTCAGAATGAGAAGTGTAACGAGGAAAAAATGATGTGAGGGGGAAGAGTGAGTCCAGTGGACAGAGGAGAAGGAGAGGGAAGTGAAAGGAAGGGACATTAGTTACCAGTGCTGCATAATGACTTAGTTCAGTTCAGTCGCTCAGTCGTGTCCAACTCTTTGTGACCCCATGGACTGCAGCACGCCAGGCCTCCCTGTCCATCACCACCTCCCGGAGCTTACTCAAACTCATGTCCATCGAGTCGGTGATGCCATCCAACCATCTCATCCTATATCGTCCCCTTCTCCCACCTTCAATCTTTCCCAGCATCAGGGTCTTTTCCAGTGAGTCAGTTCTTTGCATCAGGTGACCAAAGTATTGGAGTTTCAGCTTCAGCATCAGTCCTTCCAATGAGTATTCAGGACTGATTTCCTTTAGGCTGGACTGGTTGGATCTCCTTGCAGTGCAAGGGACTCTCAAGAGTCTTCTCCAACACCACAGTTCAAAAGCATCAATTCTTCGGCACTCAGCTTTCTTTATAGTCCAACTCTCACATCCATATATGACTGCTGGAAAAACCGTAGCTTTGACTAGATGAACCTTTGTTGGCATCATGATTTACCCCTAGTTTAGCAATTTGAAACAACAGTTGTTTGCCCCACACAGTGTCTGAGTGGCAGGAACCCAGGAGTGGCAGGTCTGTATGTCTCTGGCTTAGGAGAGACATAGGCTGGAGTCGAGGGTCCACTTCCTAGAAGGATCCGTGCTGGCCGGGTAACTCCATTCTTCTCTACGTGGCCATCTTCATGGCGCTTGAGGGTCCTCACAGGTGACGGCAGGGCCCCCTCAAATAAGCTACCTGAGACGGAGCTGGGCCGAAGCCCCAGTGCCTTTTGTGACCTCACCTCAGAGGTCACTCTGTCATCTCTTCCGTGATCTGTGGGTCAGAAACAAGGCACTTAGTCCAGACCTCACTCTAGTGGGGAAGGATGAGGCCCCTCCATGTGAAGGGAACATCAGGAAACCGCCCTGGAAGAGAGAGGGGAAGGAGTGAAGAGAAATTTGAGCAAAACACCTATTTCCCGTTTGCTCATGGAGAATGCTTAGATACGTCCATGTTTTTCTCCACCAATCTATCTCCCTTCACCAGGGACTAATGGCTGTGTGTATGTGTGTATGTATAAGTATATTGTGTGAGTGTGTGTGTGTGTGAATACTTGTGAATGTGTGTATATGTATAGGTGTGAGTTTCTGTGTGTATGTGTATATGTGAATGTGTATATATGAGAGTGTGTATGTATATTATGTGAGTGTGTGTGTGAATACATGTGAATGTGTGTATATGTGTAGGTACAAGTGTTTATAAATGTATGTGTGTGAGTCTGTATGTATAAACATATTGCATGAGTGCGTGTATGTGTGTGTAGGTGTGAGCATGTGTGTATGTATCTATGTGAGTATTTGTGAATATATGTGTGAAGGTGTGTAGGTGTGTGTATTTGAGTATATGTGAATGTACATGTGCATTGTGTGCGTGTGTGTAAGTATATTGTGTGCGCATGTGATATGTGTAGGTGTGCGTATATGTGAATGTATGTGTGCCGTGTAGGTGTGTAGGTGTGACTAAATGTGTAAGTATGCTGTTTGTGGATGTGTGTAGGTATGAGTGGATGTGTCTGTGAGTATATGTGAATGTACATGTGCATTGTGTGCGTGTGTGTAAGTATATTGTGTGCGCATGTGATATGTGTAGGTGTGCGTATATGTGAATGTATGTGTGCAGTGTAGGTGTGACTAAATGTGTAAGTATGCTGTTTGTGGATGTGTGTAGGTATGAGTGGATGTGTCTGTGAGTATATGTGAACGTATGTGTGTACTGTATGTGGACGTGTGTGTGCATGTGAGTTGGTGTTGTGGGTGTCTGGCAAGACAGGTGTAGAGTCCCAGCTGTCCCCACTCTTGACTCCAGCCAGTCACACCTCGCTTTACCGTGTGTCCCCACAGACTGCTTCTACACTCGCGCCTCTCTGTCCACATGAAATAACCCAGACTCCAAGTTTGGAGGGCCCCCTGCCGCTAACTGGTTTGCTGAATTTCCCCCAAAAGAAATCTGCAGTGTTGCATCCACTTTACCCAGTCCTCATCCACGCAGACGCGGTAAAATGTGTCCCTGACCAGAGATACCTGTGTTTCTCAGAGTCCAGGGAGCCCGTGTGGGCTGAGGATAGAAACCAGGAGACGGCATTTAGAGATCTGGGTCAAGCACTGTGCTAAGCTGATCAGCCTGTGAAACACAGATGGAGCCTGTCTGGAAAGGCGGAGGGACGGGCGCAGGAAGCTTCTGTCTGTGCCTGATTCGGAATTAGGTTACACTGATGAATGAATTAATAAGAAAGGTGAGGCAGAACAGCCAGATGAAGAGTTGCCTGAAATGTCTCTTTCTTTCCCGTGTTTCACTTCTGATCAGATAGTACGGGAGGCCTTCACCTCATCTTTGATTTGCTCCTTTCCTTTCCTGCCTCTTTTCTGTTTGTTAGGAAGCAGTAAAAATTTCTTTATTATTATAGAATGTCGTTAGAGTCTTTTAAATGGAAAAGTCTTTTACTGTTTGGTCTTTAGAGGAGATGTGTTTTATAGTAAAATATAGAACCTATGTTTTAAAACATTTACAAGCCTCAATTTTCATCTATTGGTACTTTCAAATCAGGATTTAGTAGTGGAAAAATTCAGTGTTTAGTGTCTATATATGTGTGTTGTATACTTAGAAAAACAGAATACCCTATAATGGAAAATAGTCTGAAAAAATGTATATATATGTATATAAATGTGTGTGTGTGTGTGTGTGTGTGTGTTTATGAATGACTTCGCAGTACATCTAGAACTTATGCAACATTGTAAATCAACTATACTTCGGTTAAAAAATATGCAAACCCTTTAATGTGATATTTTTTAAAGTTATCCTCAAACTTGGGGGTAGATAGTAATTTCATTTAAATGTGCTTTTTTAAAACTGAAAAGTATTTATTTTACTAGAAAAAAGAATATTGTTGTGAGACTTTGAATAAATGAAAGTATTCATCTTGATTATTTTGATCATCCAAAATTCAGTAAAATGCTTCCTAATGGAATGAATTAAAAAGCAGCTTCATATATTATTTAAATCAAAATAAATGTACATGATAATGCTCCTAGCATTTCACATCTGTTCAAGTCAGAATATATTTTGAGCAACTTCTGTGCACCAATAAACATTTTTATATAGGATGCTAATGGCAATGCAAACATGCACACAGAAATATATAGAAAATGGCCCATATACTAACCACAGAGGTGAGTAGGAAAGGACAAATAGTAATTTGTTTAGGCTTGGGAGCCATAGTATCTTGGTCCCAAAATCTCAGCTTTTCCCTTTTAGGACACAAGCAGCCATAGACAATATGTAAATGAACAGACAGAGCTGTGTTCCAGTAAAACTTTATTTACAAAAACAGGCAGACAGGACTCACCCTCAAGCCAACCCCCTGTAGTAACAATTCATTTGTACATTCACAGCACCAAAAGCATTTTGTTTCTCTTGCATTTACCTAAATAAAATTACCAGAAAATGTTCTTTTGAAAGACCAGTGGAAAAGTTTGTTTCTAAAGTCACATTTTTGTAGAACTGATTTAAAAGTATTATTTTAGTTATTAATCAGATATCATTGACTTTCAGGTTAGTATTATTAATGCCTTTGGATAGTTCAGTATGAGCAAACCAAGAAACTAATAAAACAAATTTAAGAAATAAGTGAAGTCTGTTTATTAATAACATGATAGATGAAGCACAATATCATTTTAAAATCGATTGAAAAGTTACTAAATAAGTAAACTATAAGTTGTGTTTCTAAAGATAGTTATGATATTTTATTCTCAGTATCTGCAGTGATGATAGCTATTTAAATTAGCCTTGGGGGAAATGCAATCTTTCACAGGAAAAGAGAATATTACGGTTTTTTTTTTTTTTTTACTTTTCTGTGTACAATTTTGAACAACAAAAAGAGCAATTATTTTAAAAGCATTTCAAATGATATTATAATGTGTATGTAATTCTTAGACCTTTCCTAAAATTCCATTTTAAGCTATTATTGACACACTCTTCCATTTCTACTGCTCTCTTTGCTGTTATATAAGGAAGAATGATCTATAGGTCCTCCATGAGCATTGTTTTAAGAGAAAAGCTAACAGAACCAGTGACAGCAAATTTTAATTTCTTGTTGAGCCTGTGAGCACCAGACCCTATACTGGATCCTTGAAAAGTCCTACACAATGATGGCTGGTTCTATAGGAAACTAAGTGACTCTAATAGACCACAGGTGCATGTTCAGATCTTGAATAAAACAAAGATGTCTTCCTTGTCTATTTCAGATGCCTTACTAGTCCGTTTCAGCTCACTCTGGGACCTTTTTGGTCTTGGTTAGAATCTGGGGACTTGGATTCATTGTACTAATTGTGCATGGAAGCAGGGTTGATAGCCTCGGTTCCATTGGTGCTCTCACCCTAAACTGCTCTCCACGATGGAATGGATATAGTCATGTTACAGTTCCTCTGCCTACATGTTAGATTTTCACAGCACTTTTGTAAGGGGTTCACACAAATGCTTTAAAGCGAAGGGCACACTCTAGAACATGTGTTTACACTATCTTAGTCCCTCCTGCTTGTGCTCTTAACCCGATTAAGGAAAACGGTGGCCATCCAAAAGCTCTGTTTGTGTGTATCTTGCAGGAGTTCTTTGGAATCTCTCATCTTGCGATGCACTCAAAATGCCAATCATCCAGGACACCCTGGCAGTGTTGACCAACGCGGTGATTATCCCCCACTCAGGCTGGGAAAACTCACCTCTTCAGGACGATCGGAAGATACAGCTGCATTCCTCACAAGTGCTGCGAAACGCCACTGGATGCCTAAGGTGAGTCCCGTGTCATTGTCACTTCCTTCTGCCCTCAGGTGCTTTTTGTTTCTGTAACTTTATTGCTGTTTTGCTAAGGAGCAGAATGTTCTGGAATATTCTTATGGCAATAGAGTGCAAGAAGCTAGCAAAAGTCATTTCTAATGTGGTACTGAAGAGGTATATTCATCTTCCTCTGCCCTGTACCTCCCCTAGTATTTGACTTATTTAACATGTTTTCTTAGATCCTAGGCAAAAAATACATAAATAAATGTTGTCATCGCAACCAAATATAGTTTTCTTTGATTGAAAGCAAGTGTTGTGACATATCATGCATATAGAATAACCAGGCAGACCAACTGGCTGGGAGAGCCTATGACAAATACATAGGCATCACAGTAAGTGTCTCTGGTATCTATTTTTATTTTTTAAAAATGTTCAATGTGACTGCTAGAGCTTGTAATTCTTAAAAATAGCTCTTTAATAAGGCCTGTGGTGTGAAATGTCTTTTTTAAATAATAAAAGTAGCAAATGTGTTGTAATTATCTTCCAATGTGTTTTTTTCAAAACTCATCACCCAGAAATCTCTTGAGATGTTTTAGATGTTCCGTTTAGTTTTTGCTCTTAGAAAAGAGAATGTAATAATTAAGGTGTGCTTATTCTAATCTCTGGAAACGGTGTTCCCAAGGATATTGTACATTGTAGAAAGTGAGAAATCTCTGCCAGTTTAACTTAATGGTGGGATATATGTGGTTTAAGATACCTAGTCAAATAGTCTGTATTTCAGAAGTGAAATGTACAGAGTTGCTTTAGCTGGGCTGCCTCAAAGCTGACACTTCTCTGACAGTTGATCAGTTTCTAGGTGTAAGTACCAGTCTCAACTGAGAAGACACAGGATCACTTTAGTGACATTAATAATAAAGTTCTCATGAATATTTATAACAATACTCTTAGCCTCCAGTCTTGAGAAGGGTGTGTGTGTTTGTGTGAATGTGCATGCATAAAGGGAGCTAAAGAGAGCTGGCCTCCATAAATATCAGTGTGCATTCATGGACAGGAATAGGAAACCCTCCAACAATTTTGCTTTTCCTCAAGGTCATGAAATAATGATCTTCTGACATGATTTCTCTGGATAGGCTCCACCATAAGCCAAATTTACAGTTCTCTACACCCCACTTTTGAGACATCCATTTTATAACCTCTTAAATTCTATGATCCTTCAGAAACCTCCTGCCCTACTGGAAGAAATATAGCTTATCCGAAGCTAAAGCTGTGGGCATTTCTGACCCTTTCTACCTCATTTTTCTATGCCAGTTATATACAACCATTACAGCAGTTTTCCTTTCTAACATCCTTGACTTGTAAAGAGTGTCTTTGTTCCTAATCAGGATCGTGGAAGGAAGTGCTTCAGAACCAACTGTAGACATATAGTTAATAAAGATCGGTTTATCTCCATCAATTCATATTCTCTATAAATTATATAGTAATGTGATTATATATTCATGATGTTTGATTTAAGGATGAAGGATACTGATATATGAACATTCATCTTCCTTTGATAAAAGTCAGATGAAGAAACCAGCCTAGTGAAGGCTCACGGCTCCCCTTTGTGGGTCATCTGGGCCAAGTTCACAAACACAGAGGCTTGACCAGTGCTGCTTCTGCTTCAAGCCAGGACTGACCACCTCATAGGAAGCAAAAAGGAGGACATCTGATTCAGAAAGAGTTTCATGTAGGCTGAGTGGCTTTTCTTAGCCCACATGAAACCGGGTTTAGGGTTTTCCCCACTTTTCAGTGTTTATCATGTGAGTGACAAAGTGAGGTCTATCAAAATGTGGTGACTATTTCACTTCCCTCTTAATTCATTAAGCTCCTTCTGTTGCCAAAACTCAGCCTCTGTTCACTGGTGCCAAACAGAAATGCAGAGACAGAGTTTTGGGTGGAGTATAAAGAAATAGCTTTATTGCTTTACCAGGCAAAGGGGGCCACAATGGGCTAATGCCCTGAAGACTGTGTCCCACCCATGCAGAGGGGTCTTAGAGTGCTGAAGGAGCAGGGTGTGATCAGCTCATGGACATCCTCTGATTGGTTGGTGGTGAGGTAATCTGGAGTCAGCATTATCAACCTTCTGGCTCCAACTGGTCTGGGGTCTACATGCTTGTGGGCTGCATACAGTTAACTTCTCCCACTGGTGGGAGTTTCAGTTTCTGCACAACAGCTCAGAGGACGTGGCTCGGGACATTATCTATAGCCCTGGAGGAGGAGTAAAGGTCCTTGACTTTGTTTAGTGGCTAAAGTATTATTTTGTCTTGCATGACTGTTTTCCTTTCTTTCTGCATCTTCTTACTTCTCTGATTAAATTTATTCTTTGACTAAAGTTTTTCTACAGACAAAAGGCCAGTGGCCAACATGGATGAGGGTCTGTTCTGGGAAGGACCCTATAGGGTCTTGCTCCATTACATTTCCCTTCTTATAGAAAGAAATATGAGTTTTTATCTCTTATTTAAATATGTTTATGAATCATTCTACATTAATGAGCAGATTGGACTAACAGGGGAAGAAAACAGCTCTGGGAAAGGGCTAAAATGAATTTATCAAATAAAGACTCAGCAGATGAACGGTTTCAAGAAATTTCTACTATTACCATTTGCTTAGAACCAGTGTTGGAAAAATACACAAAAAATGTTTTAAATATTTACATCATGATGGAAGCATCTAGATTTTAGTATGTGAGGTTATATTGACATTCTTAATTCTTTCAACAAAACCAAGATCTTTATTTACATGAAAGAAGTTGCTTTGTATGCTGTTCCTGCCTTTCAGCAGTTTCATCCATGGGCATTTTCTAAGTGCCTGCTGTGTGCAAGGAAGGGACCAGGAAACCAAAAATAAACATAGCAACCTCTTAACCTTCTAATCCCTTGGAAGACAATTACACCCATGCAGTTGAAAGGTTGTTGCTGAACGATAAAACGCCAGGATTCTTGGCCTCCGGAGGCGAATTCAATCCGGGGCCAGAGACGAGGCTGGATCACTCAGATATTTTGTGTAATAAAGTTTTATTAAAGTATAAAGGAGATAGAAAAAAAAAGTATAAAGGAGATAGAGAAAGCTTCTGACATAGGCATCAGAAGGGGGCAGAGAGTGTACCCCCTGCTAGTCTGCAGGTGTATGTTATATAGCCACTCACAATCTGTTAATGAAAAGAAAGGAATGTCTTAAAACTCAGAATGGCACCAGATAATTCATCCCAGGCCATAAAATGATTGACTTGAGTCTTGTAGAAGGGCAGATTACCACACAAATAGTTTCGTTTACATAGATTAGGGGAACGATATCTGAGTATGACATACTGGTTTGTCAAGTAGGTTCTGAGCCATTTGGCGAATTGAAGACAGAGTCTGGGGCACACTAACATAGCTTAAGACAAACATTTCCATAAGAAAAAATGTATTGGTTAACTCAAGGTTTGAGAATAGTTGGCTTCAGGTGAAAAGAAATCAGGTGTCATGGCAAGAGAGCATTTTAAGAGAAACCTCCTTTTAAATTTGTAGAGAAGGAAAAAAAAAATCTCTAATTTGTTTCCTCCTGCCTCTTAAGAGAGAGATAAATGTCTGGCACTTGCAGCCTGTTTCCTCCATTTGGAGACCCCTGGCCTTCCTGCCTGTTACCCTTCCTCTCACAGTGAGTCCTGGTTTTATGATTAGGATAATATAGAATGGGCTTCCCAGCTGGCACTAGTAGTAAAGAACCCCCCTCCCAGTGCAGGAGACAAATAGATGTGATTTGATCAGGGTCAGGATGGTCCCCCAGAGGAGGAAATGGCAGCCCGCTCCAGTACTCTTGCCTAGAGAATCCCATGGACAGAGGAGCCTGGTGGGCTACAGTGCAGGGATCACAAAGAGCTGGGCGTGAAGAAGCGACTTGGCACGCAGGATACTACAGAAGGAAACACTGGCGAAGGGGTGGCTTATTCAGCCAGTGTGGTCACAAACGCTTTCAAGAACCAGGTGAGGCTGGGGTCAGGCAGAGAAAGGGCTTCACCAGTCAACGCTTTGGGATCTCCTTGAGGCCAGAAAGATCAGCACACACTCCTACACTGACGTGGGGGACATAACTCCAGGGTCTGTAGGCAGTCTGCAAACCTCAGACATTAAGAAAGGCAGCTTGCTTAGTTGTTCGATTCTAGGTGATAAAGGGATGTCAAAGCAGAGCTCAGAAGGGTCGACCTGAATCTCTAAGGGGCAGAAAACTATGGCGAAGCTTTTACCAAGAGAACATGATGATTACCTATGTCTGGGAGCAATTTTACAGGACAGAGTGAAAGCAGGTAGGGAGGGGAGCGGTGACATGAAGGGTGGAGCTGTGAATTTATGGACTGCCCTGCAGACTTCATTTTTAAGGTACCTCCTGTAGGCCAAAATAAATATCAATATTTTGTTCCATTCAATTAAATTTAACCATCACTGGTTTGTATCTATGAGAGCTATCTCCATAGCTGTTTTAGGTCTGCTTTTTATTTTGGAAATATTTTCATCATTTTATGTTATTCTTATTTAAATTATAGTTTCAATATCTTATTAAATGTTAGAGAAGTTTTATGGCACAAATCATTATTTGTATGTAACTGAGGCTTCATAAATCAAATCCCCCCAAAACAAGAGGATATAAAACACATGTAACTGAGCTAAATTATAGATAATGCAGTGCACTCAGCAAAAGTCCTCCTGGAACTGCAGAAATGATTTGAATATAGTCCTTAAAATGTAAAATTAATAAGCAGGTCATCTCAACTTATAAATCACATCTGGGCTTATACCTTTGCAAGAAACATTTTTTTTTCTATCACAATATTTAGAAAGAATTTGGTGCTTTGCTGCTTCTTAAAGCAGAAAATAAAATTACAACAATTGTTCTTTTCGTCATTTTTATGTACTCTATGTAATATATTTTGTATAAAAAAAATGATACAGTGAATTTGCCCAAGAAGATGATACAGTGAGTTTATGTAACATTTGCAT